GAATATTTGCGATTTTCCAACGAAAAGTCACAAATACGCACTATCACCCGCGGCTGAGCGGCTTGAAAAAATGCGATTTAACAGGATTTGCCCGGCGAATGCCACAATTGTATGGTTGTCTTATACGATCCAATGTATGCAATAAGATTTAATAAGATTCGATAAGATTTCATATCTTTTTACCGGGTCGATTTTGGCAAGCAGCCGCACCTTTCATTCTTAGCCAACATACACAGCTTCCAGAAAAGGCCTCGTGACAAAATTAGGTTTTAAAGTTTTGGGCCTAAGACTACAAAGCCTCGGTCTAAGCCCTCTGGATCTGGACCGCCGCAAAAAGTTAAGGATTTGGCTTATCGAGGATGAGGTGGGGGCTGGCCAGCCCTGCGTTCGACCCACGCCCGAGCAGATGTCTGGCGCAATTACCCCAGTGTGCTCTTGAAAAAACTTTACCGAAACAAACTTGACCAGACTGAGCCAGGTTTTATGTATCTTTTAGTTCTTCTAAACAGAGACTGATTATACACCCTAGGGGTTACATTGTGATTTGTTTTGGGAGGGAGTTTTGAGCAGAAAACCCTGACCAAACGCCGCCAAAACACACAACAACAGACTTGCACAAAACAATCACCAAACAAGCACAAACAAATTATCAACAAATAAAGTCATAAAACTAAAAAGACAAACAATGACAAGGACAAAAAAAGTGCCAAACGCAAACAAATACTGATATTGACTAATAGCTTCACACCACACTTTTTTAAATATACTTACAGGTTACGTTACATTGGATGATGACTTTCATGTTACATTCCATTGGCCAATGATTCTCAGTCAATGAATCGCTTGATCACCCTGGCCTCGGCGATGTTGTAGAACAGCAGGAAGCCAGCACCGGAAATAGACTCAACCACAAAACATCAAGATCAAAGCAAAAGTTTCAAAAACAAATAACAAGTAGAAGCAACGAAAGTCAACAACAAAGAAACAAGGACACAGCTCGCCAAGTACGTGACTAAATGAGGCTTTAGGCCTAAAATCAAAAAGTTAAGAAGCCTTGATAATCTGAACCCTGTGGTTCTGGACGGTCGCAAAAGGTTAAGGATTGCGGCTCTGAGCGGATTCAGTGTATGAGAGCTATGGGCTAATGCATTAGTGCTACAACATGACGGACCCAAACGAGCATATTTTTGTCAGCAATCCAGAGCAGATAGAGGCATACCAGGATTAAGTAGCTGCACCGATGATCCCGGCCGAACACCCTCACACCGTGAGGGTCCGGCAGGCCCCTTGCAGTTGCAAGTTACAGACTTGCAGAGACAGGATGACGCCTGACCTCGTCGAGCGCGAGTGCTCAATAGACTGGATATGACAGGATCATGTGCTACGCAATTTCAGACACGTTTGAGCACTAAGGTTGCTCCGGGAGATGACGACGGATCCTGCAGCGACCGGACAGCAGCTGGATAAGTCCTCCCCAGTGACATGGCATGACATGGGTACGTTTAGAGGGTTTAGGGTTTAGGGGGGTGATGAGGCCCCTCGGTTCGACAAGTCCTTGTGCGCTACGATCTTTTGCGCAAAACAGAGCACAGAACAGCCGTAATGATTGCCATAGGGGGGATGCAGTGGTGTAAAGCTTGAACATGGGGATCTGTTGTGTGTTGTCAGGGTCTGTTGAAGCAGACCCAAGCAATCACACCTTGCGCTCGTCAACAGCCTGTTGATTCTACCGAACGGTCCAGCAGTAGGGAAGCTACATCTAAGTGTTCCCTGCATAGCAGCCAGGCGGGAGGCCAAAAAAGGCACGAAGCCCTGGACGTCTGACCCGAAAAGTCCATGATGTCCCGAGTCTCAGAGCCATCTAGTTTCAACAAATCGCGCGAACAGGCGCGGCTGGCGAAGGAGCGGGCAAACGAGTTTCTGCACCTCTTCCTGGAGCGGCTACTCAGTACTGGGCTCGGAGAAGATGCATGAAGGGGTGTAGAGTTTAGGTTCGTTCCCCTTCAAAGCCTGAGGTAAAAAAGTTTAGGACCGACATGCACCACAAGTCAACACTCCTCTTTGTTGGAAGGTCTTACCCAGGACAGCATGTGGCCAACGTCAGATCCCCAACAAAGGGCTACACTGTTATATCAACCAATATCAGCTGCAACACCGGTTCTCAGTGGCCTAGAGAAAGCTCTGTTCCTGACTTTTGCCCAACCCACACTTCGCTATCAGCACCCGAGGTTTTCAGTTGGCGCAACAGGCCCGGCAGCGGAAACATGCAGCGTGCACATAGTCCAGTGTTCCTGTAGGGTGCTTCATCCGTGCATGCAAGCCGCTACTAAACGGAGATGGCCATGTCCTCTACGGCACCGGAATCGTGTCAAGCATTCGAGTGTTCCAGCTGCTTGTTTAGGAAGATAGAATTCTTTTGTATCACCCTGTAGTAGGCAAGGGTGTGGAATGATTAGGGGGGTTTCCACATTACAGCTGAGCCGATGTTGCCATGATGTACCATCTGTGTTGGCTGCTGTTGTTGCTGCTGCTGCTGCTGCTTCTTTAAGGCTTTTGTCGTCTTCTCGCGGGTGCGGTAGCAACTTGCAGGAGACGCAGCGAGCGTCGCAGCTCCAAGGGAGCAGCGCCTCTGCTGGCAATATGTTGCTGTGTCAGGCATGTACGAGAAGTACACAGCTGCATGTGACTATCGACCAAGCGAATTGCCGGCCTTGGTCTGCAAACAGGCGCATCTCTCGTCACTACAAAGGCCGAGGTGGCCAATCTACACTGGTTCACTGCTTGTTTCTGACACTGTGCGGCCTGCTGCAGCTACAGCGCTGCAGTGGGTTCTACTCTGGCAAAGTCCATCTAGAATCTAGATGCTTGCATGATCTTCGACGGGCAACTGGCAAAGGAACCCAATTTGTTGTCAGGCAACAGCGGATGTGGTCAATGGTGCCTGCAACTTTGCCGCGAAGCTTGGCTGTCCATGATTTACCCAGTACACGATAGTCCACATGGCCAAGCAGCATGACCAAGAAGACGTGAACCACTCGATCGTACCGCCGACGCATCTTGCTGGCCCAGGAGCCCAGACATTAAAGGCTTCCGTCTGCAAGCGCCGGTCACAGAACTGGCTGGCGCCTGTGCCATGGCCAGCAAAGCCCCAATCTTCAAACGCCCGCCCTGCCCTGAACCGGTTTGTTTTTTTTCGTGTTGCATCTAGTTCTGCTTGTCCGACATACAACACCCCATAGTGTCATATTGCTGGCAATGTCCGTTTGCTTCACACTGCACTACTCAAGAAGGTGCCTTCGGGACAATTCGGTATCCATACCGGATTGCCCAGGGGTTTTGCAACGGTAAAGACTGCGCGCCAGAGGTGCTGCAGTCAAAGATGCTGCAGTGTTTGGCCTTCTGGCAGACGCCCCGACAAAGGCACGAGGATGGCAGCAATGTCACTTCTGACAGGGCTGCAAAGAATTGCATTTCGAGTTTGAGAAGCTGCAGAGAATCTTTTGCAGCATGCGCCCCAGTCCGGTTTTGCTGCAGCAGCTGCAGGTGAGGCTTTCGTCGCACATCAAGATGGACGACGGCTCTTCGGTACCCTCCACGATGACACCAGGTGGGGACTAGTTTTGGAGCTACATGCTTCTATGCGCATCTACCATATGCTTTGGCACAGTACGTGCAGGGATCTGTACTGTAGATGCGGCGTGGTGCCTCCGCGAGGCTCTGGGAATGGTGTTGAGTCCCGTCGCGTCCTTGAAGATGTGATCCAGCTTCAGAGTGCCAGCGCCTCCGCGGCTTCGCCTGCTTTCACTCTGCCGGCGGCCTCGCCTCCGCGCCAATCGGACGCCAGGAAGTCCCCAAAGGCTCCCAGCCCAGGGGCTGGCGAGATTCCAAGCCCGTCCTTCCCGACGAAAGGGCGCTGCGCTGCCACTTACAGCTTTGGACCTTTGACCTTCGCGAGGGAGGAGGTGCCAGTCTTGTCTTCACCTCCACAGCCACAGCAGGAGCGCTGGCCTTCACCTTCGCGGGGTTTAGGGTCCAGGGTTTGGGGTTTACTTCGTTCATGGGTTTTTTTCAGGAGCCCAACGTCAAGCCGGTCCAATGAGTGACTGTAGTAACTGTAGTAGCTAGTGAGACACGGGGTGTCTGAAAGTCCAGCTCTACTAACACAAGTCTCGAAGATTTCAATTCCTCTTGGGATATGCTCAAGACCAAGATGGGAATTATGCTCTCGAAGTCTCAGACCTGGAATCCTGGAAGGACCTTCAGCGCTCAGGCTTCGCAACGCTGGAAACTGCCGCGACAACGGCTCCATCGCGCTTCGACATCACTCAGCTGCAACCCTGAGAAGGCTTTATGAAGCTTAGTAAGCCTTACTTAACTCCACTGCATCCCCACGGCCGCGTGCTGGTCGCTCTACTCCGAGAACTAGAACGCTATCGCTATCGTTCGCTTGCCGGATCATTGCTCGCTGAACTGATGTGGGGTTTGCCAAGGTCTCTGCTTCGCCCCTGCTATGTTATTCGAAGATATGCTTATAAAGTTCATGCATGCATGCAGCCATGCCTACTTGCAGCACAGTTTCCATCGCTTGGTTGAGCCTCGAGTTGGGACGACAACTTATAACTGGCAGCTTTACTCCCGAATCCTCCACTGTATACCCCAAATTCGAGCTGCCACGTGCCTACTGTAGCTGAGACTTTCGGCCTCCGAGCTTGAACATACCCCATGCCCCACAGAGCCTCCACTGGAAACGTCGTCGCTATGATAGCCATGAGCCGAAATTGCAAAAACATCGCAGCAGACAGGCCCGGGAGCCCCCCAGGTGCAACATATGTGTGCTTCAAGCTTCGGGATCTGACTTCATCTTGGGTGATGAAGGATCAGCTTTGCACTTCTGTGATCGTTGCATTACGCCTCTTGCTAGCATGGAGAAGCAAGCATGGCCGCCCCCCAGACACCCTCACTGGCCCTCACTGCGGGACTTTAGTGGAACCTCGCTGAGAGTGACGCCAAAGCCAAGGCCCGCTGAGGCCCAGTTCTCTGCACGTGGAGCCCAGTTCCAAGGTGACTTGACGCTGGAGTTTTCAGCAAAGGTCTCACTCGATTCAGCTCGGATTCCCATGCATTGTTGCGAAGAATTCACAATGCCCAGGCTTTTCCGAGGTTTGCAAACAGCAGTGCCAGAGAAACTGTCCACAAAATGGCATGCAGTCAGGGCTGCACTTTGGACTCCCTTGAAAGGCAGGCCTGGACACTTGATCTGCTGTATCCCGCCACCCATGCCACATGGACACCCTTGCCACACCAGACACCACGTGAGACTACGGCAGGTGCACCTGATTGCCAGCCACAGCCGACTGTGCCTCGACATCATTGCCTCGTCCGTTTTTGCACGCAGTTTTCGTCTTCTTAACCGCATACGATACGTGCAGTCATGAATCGGTTGTGGGTCTTCACTCTAACAGAGCGCATGGGCAGGGATGGCAGGGGCTCGACACCAAAAGAATCTACCGGCTGTAGTGACTTTTTGTGCGACTGCCACCCCACAGAAGTTACCATCGTTCTTCTCATATGTCATGCTTCGGTTTGTTTGTGCACAATCTCACCCAAACCATCAACTGTCTCCTGAAGACTACCCTGGTTGTTGTATTGACATGGCCATCCTATAGACATGCTTGTCGCTACCAGAATCGTACTGGTTGTCGAGTTTGGGTTCGGAAGTGTCTTTAATCATATTATGTTGCATGTATAAACAGGCATACGCATATGCTGCAGGCACTCATGCCGAAAGCTATCAACAACAGCCGAACTCCAGCTCCGAGGAATCTAGGCGAGAGCCTTACGAAGCGGAGGCCGGAACATGGAGCTTGAGCCCTTGGAGGTGGTAGTCCTCTCAAGGGACGAAACAGGAGCCCTGAGTTTTCAGAATCCTTTCCTCGTGTCAGCCGTGTGGAAGGCTTTTCAGTCTGTTTGTCGCATTCAGTCTGTGTTTGTCTGTGTGTGTGTTCTCTCGACATCTTAACAAAACATGTATACCATTGTACAGCTGTACATGAACTGCGTAGCGTGCATCTCCCTGCACGTGCGCGCACGCCCACGTAAGAAACTAAGCTTACTGAGGTTAGGGAATAGCATTTGCTGGTGCTTGCCCACGTACCTGTACGTACATACAGTCGGTCAATAGATAAGGCGGGAGTCAGTGCCGATTGTGGCCCGCGAGTTGGGTCTTTGGTTCGGTGCAATGCAGAAGAACTAACCTGGCAATGAGAGTTTTCAGCATTGGGAAACACCCTACTTGTATGCAATCTGACTTATCGGATTCACAAACGAATCGGCACACAGTTTGCACTCTTGAAGCCCGGAAATCCAGCCCCCGGGCTTTTCTTGGAAAACGTTCTACCAGCGTTCAGTGCTAATTGCTATCGCACTGGTTTGCAGACTGTGAGTCGTGCCTGGGCGTCCCTTTGTTTTGCAATAGGGCTTTTCCAGTATGCATGTCTTCCGTACGGTGTACCAGTGCACAGTTACATGACACGCAACCTTGCTGCGCCAGCCACTGCTCTCTGAAGGTCTGCAGGCTGCTGGAAGCCGTGCAAGGAGCATGCGCCTAGGCCAAGATTGAGTTTTTTGGGAGGGGCCAGACATGTTCAGGGTTCTTGGGCTCTCACCTGGTTGCCTTTGTTCAGAAAGATTAGCATTGCTTCGGCAAAGCGAGCTGCGAGACTGCTGCAAGCGGAGGCGAACTTGGATTTTCGGAGGTCACGCTTGTAAGGGCGATGGGGCAGTAGGCACCTTGCCTCCGTCAAGAGAGGCTCAAGGCCCCTTGAACCTGTTTCCATCGTCAGCAGGGAGTGCACAGGGGCGATCCCATGATGCTGGCCTTGTTCGAACCTCGAAGCACTTCAGCTTGGCAAAAGGCGCACTTTCAGAGATCGCCTGCCACACTCAGTGGGGATCCCTTCCACATCGGCTGCGCAGACTGGGCTCCCAAAGTCAACAGGAATCACAGACCAGACAACGCAGATCCGAAGCCTGCGATGCTCCGTCGAGCGCCTTGCAAGTTCAAACCATAAATCTCACTAATCCCATCGAGAGCTGGACAAAGAGGCTTCCCCCCAAGCTGTTTTTAAGGCATCCTAAGGCTAAGGCCAGGCATGGTCAAGGAAGATCTCGGGGGCACTGAGGTACCGACCTCGCTCAGCGTCTCGAGCACCAGCGCCAGGTAGGCTTCAGAAACGGCCCGAAAACTTAAGGACCTCAAAGTGGCTGGGCATCTTCAGTGTAGTTGTAGTGCATGCTCTTCAGCTTTTCGTGAGATGTCACGCGAACCTCGAAGTAGAACCATTTATCGTCGTCGGCATGCCTTCTCCAACCGGTGTGACACTTCAACTGAATTGCGAAGATGATCTTCAGAGCAGCATCACAGGAATCAACACAAAATGGCTTAAGGCTTAACCAGTCGACAAGCCCAGCGACGATAGCTACGACCTGCACTTTGTCTTCCAACGGTCTCTGTCTACTTCTTGACCCGTCCCAAACCCGGGCGTTCTTGTCGCGGGAGAATCTGTTTCTTTCTCTTTTAGTTAACTTGTTGTAGGTTAATTATGTTGGACGTTGCCACCTCCTTGCTCAAGCCTGCAGGCTGCAACTGCTCGGCCGGCGCCTGGAGCGCAGTGGCCTCTCGCTAGGAATATATCCTCAAGGCTGAATTCCTGACTTCTTACTTCAGGCTAATCTGCAGTCCGGGGATTTGGATCTTAATCAGTGCAATCGCACGCCTTCCCTTGTTGTCGCCAGATCCTGTCCAACTTAGCGAACCCCAATCGTATCCAGTCCTTCTCTTTCCTGTGTGCATACTTGCATTTTGCTTTGCTATGACACGTGCACTCTCTCCTTGGCCCGGCAATGCAGCATGTCAACCCTTCATGGACATGCGAATATGTAGGTTCTGAGTTTTCGCAGTCCCACAGTTTGCTGTGAGCGTGGCATTGGCAGCACATCTGTGAACGTCTTGAGAACTGTGTTGTTTCCGACTAACTTTGCTTGAAGCTGTAGCTGCGGCATTTACAAACCGTGCTTAGGCTTAGACCTTGATTTAGATGTGCAGCAACAATGTGAACGGTGCGAGCCCGGATAAGAGAAAGGGAGAAAGCCTCACGTTTGCATAGATTGTAAACACATAGGTCCGAAATCGGAGCATGTAGCAGCATCCTTCTTCTCTTGAGAATGGTGATCTCCTTTACTGAGGAAAGCAGACGAAATCATGGAACCTTCCAAGGTACGATATGAGCACTCCGGCATTGCCACCCAGTACTTCCGGCAGCCTGCTGCTTTCCAACCCGACTGCTCTCCGGCTGTGCTTAAAGCAGGGAAGGGCGTGGCCTGAGCGGGGTGTAGGTCCTTCAGAGATTCAGTGGGCGACTTTACAACGCCCTATTGATGACTTGTCTTCGAATTCTTGAGTGGGATGGACATGATCTGCAATTCCGCCCATCCACCGCAGTCGCTGTACTTCGAAGCTAAGGAAGCCTTCAGATTTGCCAAGGAGACAAACCCTTCTCTCAACATAGCGGTTTGTGCATTCTCCGCTGCCCAGGGAGATGACTTTGCCGGATTCTCAGCTGCCAGCAGCTCTTGAGGCAGCTGTGGGAGACAGGCTGTGGTGAGATGGTGTCACACGCTTGGTGGGGGCTGGCCTGAGCATCGGCATACTCTGTGCTCCCGTGCCAAGCATAGGACATGTTCTTCAGCGGGTTGAACATGCGCAGAGTCTGGTAGACATGGTGATCTTTCGTAAGGGCCGCGCGCAATGACGAGAAGCCTACATAGGTTCAACAGTGCAGGAGGCAGGAATTCCCTCCGTAGTACCCTTTATATATATATATATACACACACGCATGCATACATACATACATACATACATACATACATACATACATACACACACACATATATATATATTTATATTTATATATACATATAGAGAGATAGAGAGAGAGAGTACACAGGCCTAAATAGTATCCGTTTCTCATTTCTCATTACTCCCCAGACTGTCGAACGTGTTCACATCAGCATCGGATCAAGTCGGCAACTCAGGTCGAGGATCCCTGCCCCATGCTGAGGCCGGGAGCTGGTTAGGACTTAGGGTTAGGGCGGTTAGGGTTTAGGGCTCTGAGGCGGCAGACGGCAACACGGTTGAAAGAGTTCGTATTGGAGAGGACAGACAGTAGTTTAGAGGACGGACGTTTTCAAATCTCTCTTGGTTCATCGGGATACTTCTCTCCGCAGCATTTGCTTCACGCGAGGGGCAGCTATCAATTATGCGCCTCCGGCTGGCACATAGACCGCACACAAGCATCACCAGTATGAGCGATCCTGCACGGGCCGGCCAGCTACATAGCACGTGTACGCGCAGCACGCACCTCAAAGAAAGTCATGGACCTGGCAATATTGGAACTAAAGACTGCGCTGCTGTGACCGAAAGGAGATCCTCTCCTCGTAGATGAGAAACAGACGACGGTGAGCAGCTTGAGTCCCAGCCCTGGGGTTGCAAGACGCACAAACACAGTCCGCCAACGCTCTTCCAGTATTCTTCCGTTGCAATGCCGAGCCCGGTGATTTGGGAGATTGTGGGTGGAGGCGACAAAGGCCCGGTCGTACTGGAAATCAGCACTGGCGGATGTGTTGCGGTTCTCACATGTAGGTAGCACTGGTCACTGGTCCATGCCATGCAAGAGATGCATCACTTAGGCGAGCTCGTAGCAGGCAGAAAGCTCAATGCCGATGTAACTGGCACATGTTTTGCTTGGGAGTTGTTGGCCTACAGGATTTCTACCACAAGTATCACGCAGGAACCTTGGGGCTTTGCCTTGTCTCATTGGCCCCACAGGTGGCATCATCGTTCGGGACGGTGAGAGCACCAAGTCTGCGCAGCTGGGAGACCGTCGCTTGATTTTTTTCAAAATTCACCTAACTGCCCCAAACTGATGGGCCGTGCCACCGGCAGACCGGGGCTGCAACCTTTCATGGTATGCTTCTATGTACCCGGCCCTGGAGTTTGGTTCGTCCTACCCGCCTCCGGGTGATTTCATATTGGTTTTTAGGTCGGGGGCCTTCGGGCCGCAAACCGCAACAGCTCGTAAAAGGCATCGCGCTTGCACCCACACATCCAGAGATCGGGCATGTCGAGGCAGCATTCTCATGTCAAAACCGTCTACGGGTTGTGTTCTACAGTCGCATGTCTGTGAGGTTATTTGCATTGACATTAATTGATGCGTTTGGGGAACATATTATTTGCTCTTCGCTACTCGTCTGAGGCGGCATGCAAGTAGAGTCACGAATTACCCATGTTGGCATTAGTAAAACCGCTAGTGTGGTGCTAGGCATGTTTAGAACCGCGTGCTCAAGCTGAAACTTAGTGCATATAATTAGCGCCTCGTCATCCCAGCCCTTTTGGCATCCTCTTTACTGCTAACTCTTCGCGGATTCGCGGGTGGTGTGCACGGGGTCGGCCCTCGGTTTGCGACAGCCACGTGCTTCCAAGATCCACGCTCGGTACCCGAAGTAAAACCCCGTGTTCTCAAGCAGCGCGAAGGTCTGTCGACGGGTTCCCTGGTGGAGCAAGTGACTGTGAAAGGCGCTACAGCTTTCGGGTCTGGAAAGCAGGGCATGTTATTGCTGAAGCTTCCAGGCCCATGTCGAAAAGGCACAAGCAAGTGGTTGCGATTTAGCTCAGCATCACGTGCGTCAGATGCCTGTGCTGATGCAGCACCATCTTGCATGCATGACGGGATGCAGTTGCAGTTCTATCTTCGTTTGTTCTGACCACGGCAGTGGAGACTGCGGCTGTTGCATTCTCTCACACGCTATCATGTACTTCGCATGTTGCTTATATGGTTTGAGGTCAGGCTGGTGCGATGGCCCGGCCAAGGAGTCTTCTGGAGGGCTTGCCCATGGGACATAGCTTTGGACACGGATGTGGCCTGCAGCATTGTGTAGTATATTCCTAGGCTGCTACACATAAGAAGATCAACAGCAGCAGCAGATGGTCTGTTTCCAGTAGCCCAAACGCATCCTTAGGGCCTTAGGCCTCAGGGTATCTTTGAAGCCTCTGACCTGTCCAAGCCTTCCTGTGCAAGGTGACCGCTTGCAGTACAAGCTTCTTGCCGGCGCAGGACCCGGAGTTGCGTAAGAGAGCCACGGAATATGTGAGATGCTTCGCACTGTCTGCGGCTAAGACCCGGTACACGCTGAGTAAGGCTGCAGCCGATGACGCGACACGAGGCGTAGGAGTTTGCGCAAGCCTTCGTTGCCTGTGATGAGCCTGTGCCTGTCAGTCGGCTCAAAACCTAAAGCCAACAGGTCGTCAGCGCAGCCAGTAAATCCCGGAACCTTGATAAAGTCATGGGCTTGTAGCTTCACGGTGTTGTGTTTGATGCTCATTCAGGCTCCAGAGCCGCTGGCATTTTCAATCAAAGGTCCGTGTTCATCGTTCTGCGGTTGCCATAGTAGGTTCTTTTTGATGCCGATGTATCGCTCCGGACACAAGTCCATGACCATGACTAGCAAGTTTACAAACTTACGAGTCAGGGTCCTGGACTCGTGTCCCGAGCTTTACGTCGGCATCAAAAAGAACCTACTATGGCAACCGCAGAACGATGAACACCAACGGCGATATTGGTTGGCCCCAAAGGCCGATGTGGCAGCTGCAGACCCGGTCGCAAAGAAGATGCCCAAGGCAGTGCCAGCTGGATTGGCCGCGGCAGCCTTGAGCTCGCGTTATGTTCAGACGTCGGCAGGACGCGAGCTCTCCAGGACCTATGCAACCGCTCACAGCATCGCAGGCTTCCGCCGAGTTCCAATTTACACATTAGCCCCGAACCCTCGTCCACTGAAATCCTAACCGTTATAACCTCTGGACTTTGTAGTACCTCAAACCAGTCCAAACCCTTAACGAAACCCGAAATGCGAGAGCGTCAAAGCTTGGAGCATTCGAGGGTGTGCATAGTTAGGCATATAGTGCCGAAAAATTCTTACATTTCTTGAGTCAGAAGCCCCCGCCCCCATCCAGAAAACCCTGAATGCGGCATCGCAGCCTGAACACGAATCCTTACTTAGAGACCGCATGAAGAGCAAAAATCATTTGCGCAATCCTCTCTACAGGCTGTCCCGGCTACACCGGAACAGTCCACAAGCCGGCGGTGACGTTGGCAAAGCCGCCCTCATCGCTTCTCGACCGGAGTCGTTGCATGGCATTCCAGCGCACCGTGCAACATGCTGCCACGATCATCAGGGGGGTCCACAAGGCAGCAAACCGAGTGACAATGCGCGTCGTCCAGCCCGCGATCTACATGCAAGTGCCGTTCCCTGTACAGCCAGTGTACCCGATGTCTCGAGAGACGTCCTTCCTAGGAGGCTATCCGATGGCGTACAGCCCCGTGTACGTAAGCAATCGTGTGGTTCTTCCGCCACGCGTTCTCGTGCGAGCCTAGTCTTCGCACTGCTTCATGTCCCCATGGCCGAAAGGGGCCTGGGTTTGAATTACAGCATGCCCTGAGTCCCCCAGTAGTGCCCTTCTACACGGTCTTTGTTAGGACTGAACAGTAGGCAGTCAGCTAGGCAAAGTTTTGAGGGATTGCTGGGGAACCATGCCACAACGATTGCTGATTCGGTGCCTATGAGCCCGCTGGCATTGCATGCTGGATCATGCTGGCGGGTGCCAGAAAATCGTCTGGTTGGTCTTGGGTCTTGGGGGCTCGGGCTTTTAGTTGGGGCTGGTGGGGTGCGAGGTTCTTGTGATGTTTGGGGCTTTTGGTAAGTTTTGGCTTAAGTTGTTCTTGGTGGTGGTTGGAGTTTCCCTATAGACCGCAGATCGCTGGCGCGAAGCTTGTCTGGCGTGCCTTGTCCTTATGATTGCCCCTCCCCCCCCCCCCCGCTCGCAGTCGAAATCGTCGATTCTAGGAGATTCTAGGTGAACGCTTCTGACAGACTTGTTGGGGCGGGGGAGTAGGTTTAGGGTACGAGGTCCAGTGCGCGTGTCTCCACTTCTCGGAGCTTGGTGAGTGAGATGATATCATGATGCCGGTCAGCTCATGTCGTGCCAGTAATGTCGATGATGCCGCGGACGCTTGTGCTAGGAGTGAAGAAGACACACCAGATCTTGACATGACGATGGCCACGGTGATTCGGACTGCCATGGTTGCGATCATGATGATGTTGCTAAGGATGATGGTGGTGAGGTGGGGAAGGTGACGTGGACCACAACCTACGTGATGCTGATGCCGTTGCTGAGGCTGAACCCGCCACCAGTGATGCTACCTGCCACGTACAGTCTCGTCGATTGTTGATGCAGAGCTCTGCTGAATCTTCCATGCTGCATTAGTTGATGTCAAGCTGATGTCTGAGTTTGCTTGTCTCTTGAGTGCGCAGGCTTATTCGTCGATTTCTGCACGGGTCTTCATGACTGTCCTGTCCGGAAGTTGGCTCAAAAGCTAGATCCAACAGGTCGGCATCGCAAATAGGATCTCACGATCGTAACCATAAAATAGCCTGCCATCTCGGCTTGTAAATCCCGGAGCCTTGATTTCACCATCCGACAAGTATTGGTCATGGGCTTGTAGCTTCACGGTGTCACGGTGTTGTGTTTGACGTTCAGGCTCCAGCGCCTCGGCAAATTTTCAATTCATGGTCTTGGATTGTTGCCCCGAGTTCTACGTTGGCGGCAAGGAGAACCTATGGCCAGCGCAAAACGATGAACACCAACGGCGATGTTGGTTGGCCCCAAAGGCCGATGTGGGAGCTGCAGACCCGGTCGCAAAGAAGATGCCCAAGGCAGTGCCAGCTTTGGTCGCGACCGTGGCGCCAGCAGCCTTGAGCTCGCGTTTTGTTCAGACATCGGCGGGACGCGAGCTCTCCAGGACCTTTGCAACCGCTCACAGCATCGCAGGCTTCCGCTGAGTTCCAATTTGCCCGTTAGCCCCGAACCCTTGTCCACTGAAATCCTAACCGTTCCAACCTCTAGACTTTGTAGTGCCTCAAACCAGTCCAAACCCTTAACGAAACCCGAAATGCGAGAGCGTCAAAGCTTGGAGCATTCGAGGGTGTGCATAGTGAGGCTTTTAGTGCCGAAAAAATCTCACATTTCTTGAGTCAGCAGCCCCCGCCCCCATCCAGAAAACCCTGAATCCGGCATCGCAGCCTGAATACGCATCCTTACGATAGAGACCGCATGAAGAGCAAAAATCATTTGCGCAATCCTCTCTGCAGGCTGTCCCGGCTACACCGGAACAGTCCACAAGTCGGCGGTGACGTTGGCAAAGCCGCCCGCATCGCTTCTCGACCGGAGTCGTTGCTTGGCAACCCAACGCACCGTGCAACATGCTGCCACGATCATCAAGAGGGTCCACAAGGCAGCACTTCGAGTGACAATGCGCGTCGTCCAGCCTGCGATCTACATGCAAGTGCCGTTCTCTGCACTGCCAGTGTACCCGATGTCTCGAGAGACGTCCTTCCTAGGAGGCTATCCCATGGCGTACTGCCCCGTGTACGTAAGCAATCGTGTGGTTCTTGCGCCACGCGTTCTCGTGCGAGCCTAGTCTTCGCACTGCTTCATGTCCCCATGGCCGAAAGGGGCCTGGATTTGAATTACAGCATGCCCTGAGTCCCCCAGTAGTGCCCTTCTACACTGTCTTTGTTAGGACTGAACAGTAGGCAGTCAGCTAGGCAAAGTTTTGAGGGATTGCTGGGGAACCATGCCACAACGATTGCTGATTCGGTGCCTATGAGCCCGCTGGCATTGCATCCTGGATCATGCTGGCGGGTGCCAGAAAATCGTCTGGTTGGTCTTGGGTCTTGGGGGCTCGGTCGGGGCTGGTGGGGTGCGAGGTTCTTGTGATGTTTGGGGCTTTTGGTAAGTTTTGGCTTAAGTTGTTCTTGGTGGTGGTTGGAGTTTCCCTATAGACCGCAGATCGCTGGCCCTAGTGTTGATGTTCACTTTGCCGACCGCGAAGCTTGTCTGGCGCGCCTTGTCCTTATGATTGCCCCCCCCCCCCAGTCGAAATCGTGATGCTTACAGACTTGTTGGTGCGTGGGAGTGGGTTTAGGGTACGAGGTCCAGTGATATCACGACGATGGTCGTTTAGCTTCACTCCGAATGACATGTCATAAGTCTCGATCTTCAGCCAGCATCAAGCCGTGCTGGTGATGTCGATGATGCGGCAGACGCCTGTGCTAGGAGTGAAGAAGACACGAGATCTTGACATGACGATGGCCAGGGAGATTCGGATTGCCATGGTTGCGATCACGATGATGTTGCTAAGTGTGATGGCGGTGGGGTGGTGAAGGTGACAGCGACCACCACGACATACCACAACCAGTTTTCCGGGTTTGTTTGGTGTCCGACACTTCGCAGGACCTCCCGAAGGCTGGATCAGCGTCTTGCTCTCTGGGAAGCCTCTGGCCGTGGTCGCAAGGGGTGCGGCCGGTGAACCGGCTCCCTCCAAGCAAGAGGCTAGTGCGGCACCCGCGGAGCCCGTGGCCACGGCGAAGCTGGGCTTTTTCAGCTTCTTCGGTGATCATGATTGTGGATGGCTCAGGTTTATTCATTCGGGAAGCTGAGGCATATTAAAAGCAACTAACTTTAGCAGCTGTTTTTGCGTCCTGCGTGTTTACTGTTTACTCACTCGTACAATTTTCTGTTTGGTTTGGGCCGCACTGGCCACGTTTGCAGGGGTTAAAGACGGGTGACAGGTGCCTAATTCGAAGTGCAATATGCATCTTTGGCTTTGGGCGATGTTGTTATTCACCTGGATGGCTGCATCATGTGCAGATTTGCGGAGAGGGTGCACTGGAACGCCACTCAAGAGTTTCGGCTCTGAAAGGGACATGGTGACGCTCCGAGTTGGTTTGTTGCAAGTTTGATCTTGCTGTTGAAGCTTCGACTATCGAGCATGCGAACCTGCGTCCATGGCCTTGTGATCCCAGACCTCAGATCTCCGTCAAGTGGAACGCAGGAAAGAGCAACTCAATCCAATGCGAGCGCAATGACACCTGCAGTAGCTGCAGGAACGGGCACGAGCAGGACGACGAGGGTGCCATCGCGAGGAGACGGGTTGCTGTAACCTTCTGAACTGTGTCTAGCTTGCTCCTTGTCAGGTGACCTGAAGTAAGAACTGCAGCCCCGGCTGACAAGGAGAGCAAAGTGGGCGACCTGGACGCCTCTTCCTCAAGAGGCGGCTTCGGAAGCAAAAGAGGGGCCCTTTTGATTTGGAGCCCTAGGGTCTTGTTGAACTCGTAAAAAAAGGAAGCCTGAAGCCCGCACTCACAGCCTTCAAAAGCTTACTTGTGAAAGCCCATAGCCCGCTACAGTAGAGTAAAATCTTAAAGCTTAAGGTCCTTATTGCAAGACTTTAATAATGTTTTATACTTCAGAGGCAAACCCTCTTGTAAAACAGTGCATACCAGATTTGTTTGACACTGTTTTCATCTGGTCACTTTTTGCTCCGAGCTGGAAGGATGAAACGCTTCCCTCAACGAAGCCAGGTGTGGGACAACTTTCCACGTGCCGGAGATGGCGGTCGCCCCACATCGCTCGGTGCTTTCAAAAAGGCCGAATCTCCGCACGGCAGCCACCGAAGCTTTCGACCCATTAAATCCCTCTCGTCCGTCGCCGTGTGGGGCCCAAACCCACTGATGTTCGGCTGCAGAACCCGGCGAGAAAGTTCCCATGTGTTGGGGATGAATTCCTAATGGCTTTTCTCTTTGGGGCTTCCGAGCAACTGACTTTGCACCATGCTGCGTCTGCAACCTTCCATGCCTGCATCCTGTTTGGACCAGGTGGTCGGCGAAGCCGCCGCGGGCGAGTTTTGGGGACTGCACCTGGGCTTGGAGAGGGCTGATGAGGCTGTTGCGGATTGAAAAATGTTGATGGAAAAAGTTGATCCTGCCATCAAAAAATTAATTGCAAGCATATGTGCTCAGGGTACTGCCACTCCTACCGCATCGTGCTCATATTTGTGCTGGTTTCCCAGAGCTCAAAAATCACCACGGGGCCCGGGAGCCAGCTTCACGTTTGCTTGCCGGACGCTTCACAAAAAGGGGGCAGGTTCTACGTACTTTAGCTGTGCCGAAGTGCGCAAGATGGGCAGGTCCAACAGCCGATGCTCAAAATTCGCAGTCACAAGCCGAGGAATTTCCCCTTGTCTGCGGACCAGTTTCTGGAAATGGGGCCGGCTTCTTGACGGGAATTGTCAGTCATTGGTCCGACAGCCGGATTGAAATCCGGGCCTCCGGCCATCATGTACTTGGTAGTAGGAGTTAAAAAAGGGAAGTTGCACAATCGCCACGCGGCAGCCGCAAAGCGAGTGCAAGCGCTTCGGGGGACTTCACAGGCGTGTCGGAGGTTGGTCCTGGAATGCGAATCGTGTGCGCAGCGATACGTAAACGCGTTCGGGCTTGTGACTCAGGGAGTGTCTCAGACGTTCAACTATGTTGGACTTTCCTCCTGTCACAGAAGCTAACAGAAGCTTTTTGTATCGTGGGTGTGCCGTGTTTGTGCCGTCTTTAAAGACGACAGTGTTCGAAGATGTTCGGAGCAAGGCTAATTTCAGCACCCGTCCTAGGACTGGCTGACGAAGGCCATGCACAAGGCAGGCACCCTGCCGAAGGACAACAGGATCGCCTCTCGACCGCATGCCTCAGTCCCGAGCCATCCCAAACCGTCGTGCTGTAGAGTGGGTGGCCCTGCTACGCCATGGTCTCGACCAGTAGCCCCCGAGCTGCTACGTATGATTTGCAGCCAGGGGCATGTCCGCACAGAGGTGAAGTTCACGGACTTCGACATCAAAGCTGCCAAGACGACGGAGTCCACAGAATCCACGGTGTCACGGCTGGGAACCGAACAAATATGACTCCAAACTATTGCAAAACAGCGATGATCCTCTATTAGAAGCTTCCACGCTTGCGATCTCGCGCGCATGTACCACTGCTCTGCGAGGAAGCAAGCTGGGGTGGTGCCGGGATCAAGATACTGCTGTCCGTGGACTACAGGATCGGTCCGTATCACACGCGCTGGAGAATGGGCGTTGCTAGGTGTACACACCGAGACAGCAGCCAACACAGCACAGTCACGCAAGCACGCAAACACACTCACGCAATGTCAGTCTAAATTGTCCAAGTTCGTGTGGGTTGGTGAGGCTGGGCTTGGGAAATCCTAAATTCGAGTTGTGTCCGTATCTCACTTGCTGAAAGTGAATGATCTACAGATATCTGCCCCATGATGTCTCAAACTGTTCAAGTTGTGAGAGTCCCAGTTTCAGATGCTCCACAGAATCCCTAAGTGCTTTAAAGCCTGACGTCAGCCCTGAGTAAGGGCATCCTGAGACTCTGCCGCTTGAAAGGCGGCCTTTGATCTTGAGGATGAAGATAGAACCGGCGACCTAATATAACCCCATATATATATATACATGTATGATCATGTATGTATGTATGTATGTATGTATGTATGTATGTACGTATGTATGTATGTAACATATACAAAGGTATACAGTAGAATATATGATTTCACTTCAATGGTTGTTTCTGCTGCAGCGAATTTGACAGCTGTCGTTTTCCGCTTGTCAATTTGTGAGCCGCACTGCTCTGAGACATGCCGCATTAAGCCCGTCTTCCCTGTCTCCAGTCGGGAGCCGGTGGGCGACGAGCCTGGCAAAGCTCTTCGGCAGAGTCTGATTTGTACCGAGCCTTGAGGGTCCAGTAGAGGCAAGTCAGCGTCTTCCAAAGTAGAAGTAGTAATAGTAGTAGTAGTAGTAGTAGTAGTAGTCGTAGTAGCAGTACTAGCAGCATCAGTAGTAGTAGTAGTAGTAGTAGTAGTAGTAGTTGTAGTAGTAGTAGTAGTAGTCGTCGTCGTAGTAGTAGTAGTAGTTACTACGGCTACTGCTACTACTACTACTACTACTACTACTACTACTCCTACCCCCACCACGACGACGACTACTACTACTACTACTGCTGCTACTACTACTACTACTACTACCACACCACCACGACTACTACTACCCACTGCGACCACCACCACCACCACGACTACTACTACGATTACTGCCACTACTTACAACTACTACAACTACGACGTAGGACGACGACGACGAAGACTACTACGACTGCTGCTGCTGCTGCTGCTGCTACTACTGTTACTGCTACTGCTGCTGCTGCTGCTGCTGCTACTACTGCTGCTGCTGCTACTACTACTACTACTACTACTACTCCTGCTGCTACTACTACTACTACTACTGATGCTGCTAGTACTGCTACTAC